CTGGGTCCTCTGGGTCCCATCTCAACACGCCTTAGTTGCCTCTCACATTGGCAAGTTCTCTGTCATAGCTAGGATCATTGATTTCCTCCATTGAAAGTGCAATGTGATCTATGGACCACAAGAAGATAATGAGAAATTGGTCGTTTTGAGACAGTTACAATCTTTGATGACCCTCCTTTTTTCTTAGTGGTGCGTAGGAGGTGATATTAATATCACCATATGGTCTCACGAACGTACTTCCCACGACAAAACTGCCCCTTCAATGGTACAGTTCTCTGATTTCTTAGCTCATAACAGTCTTCTAGACATCCTGTTGGAAGGAGCGGAGTTCCGTTGGTCTAGTCATTCAGTTAATCCAAGCCTCTCAAAATTAGATAGATTTCTAACCCCTCTCGAGTGCGATCATGAGTTCCCTGGCACCCACTCTCTGGTGCTTTCCAAGCTCGCCTCAAATCATAGACCTATCCTGCTGGATACCCAGTCCCTTCCTCGAGGGCCTAAGCCTTTTCACTTTGAGTTGTCTTGGCTCTAAGAGCTCGGCTTCCCCTCTCCTGTCTGTAACCATTGGGAGTCCTTCTCCCCTCCCCCCCCCCCCCCCCCCCGTCGAATAGGTGGGCCGGTTTTATCTTGTAGAAAAAGCTTCAAATGCTCAAATTTTTCCCAAAATCATGGAGTTCATAGCTCCCTGGAAACTTATGATACCAAAAAGACTCCCATACAGCTTACTTCCACAAGATAGCCAACTGTTGAAGAAGGGAGAACTCTATTACCCACTTCAAGGTGTGGGACCAGATTGTTGACCATCCCAATCTCATTGAGGCAGCGGCTGTCGAATATTTTTCCAAGTTTTTCTCTTCCCCTTCTGGTCCTAGGCCAGTAATGGCGGACCTCTCCTTCTCTTCTATATCTCCCGAATCTGTAGCCTCTTTGGAAAGCCCTTTACTCCAGGCCATTAAAGATCTCAATGGAGACCAGGCCCTCAGCCCTGACAGCTTCCCTATAGCCCTCTTCAAAGTCTTTTGGGATACCCTTACGACTGATATCATGGCTTTCTTTTCTGAATTTCTTTAAAAGAATAGGCATGCATATATGTGTTCACTCTCCCTCTCACGTGCACATAACTCGATGTGACTATTTGAAAACGAATTATGGAAATTTGTCACTTGAACTTGAAAGGACATCAATCAAAAGCCCCTAAAAAAATAAAGCACACCAGGATGAGATGTGATGCACAACAAGAGGCAACTCTAATTGATAAATATATGCAAAGGCTTTAGTGTTGACCAAAAGCAAGTGGACAAAGAGGGAAAATAGGAAAGTAGTCTTTAATATTGTTTTAGGCTAAGGATTTTGGATTGGGGTTCAATATGCATTAGGTATTTCTAGCCCGTTAGTGACGGTATTGTGGTTGGTTTTTAGAGAGAAGGAATTGGAAAATGGGTCATATTTATAAAGCCATCATATTGCCAATGATGAAATCCAAAAAATATTAGGCAATGATGAAGCAAAGTATGGTCCTTCTTGAAAATGTATAGAAGAGAAATGAAACTCATAGCTTGTGCGGGCCCTAAACTTAGCAAGGTACTGACTTAACTCTACTCATTTCTACATTGATCATTATATACATAATAAGAGTGAGTTCATAAATGCAATCAACTAATGCAACATCAAACTCAACCATGATCCCGATGTCAAAGACAAGGTCTTAATAGATTTAGAGAGAGAGAGAAACCATACCTACAAAAAAACTCAATAAAGAAACAAGCATTGAATTACAGATACTCTAATCTAAAAAAGTCTAAATTAAATTTTGAGAGCAAAACTGCTCAGTATATTTGGGGATGCGGCATTCTTTCAAACTCAACAAATTAAATATCTACGCTACAAGACAAGAGAGGGATGAAATCCACTTATAGATAACTACAATGGCGTCAAGTAAATTTGAAAAAAACAGAATTTAAGAAATCTCCATTTTCAAAAATCCATTTGAATTTTATCATTGTGAAGTGGTTGTGTTTCCTCAATGAGTGAAATCTCTCTCACTTGGGTATATTGGATGTTCAAGTCACTTATAGACCGCGACGGTAAACGATGACTCACCGCACCTCACGGGTCATGTCCTAGAAGGGGTGCATCGGACCATGATATGCCCTAACTCATTAAATTTTAATAATGGGTATGGTAAGAGAATTTGTTATCTCTGCCTGGACTTATTTTGTGTTGAATCTTGCATGGTTCAAAAGAGTTTTCCAGGCATTCTTTTGTTTGTTACTATCCTACTAAAGATGTATACGCAACAGAGGCTAGAAAAAAAACTAGTGAACTGATCATTGTTGCCCTACGGTATATTATTTTGATTTAGAATAAGCAATTACTAACACTTTTTAACTCAAATTTATGAAAAATTGCCATAGTAGACAAGCAAACACTATACAAACTCAGAAACAACGATGTTCTCGACCTTTTGCATTTTTTGAATGCCAGAAAAACATATAATTCTCATAAAATAGATAAATTTTGTAGATAGTTAAACATTAGTATAATCCTTTCCCCTGTCGAAACTAAAAACTGAAAGATACTTACATACCTGTTTCAGCATCATCCTCTGTGTAGCCCCTTCAGCATGCTCTCATTTGTATCACTGCAAAAATAAATCCACCACCACCAGGTCATTCTTAGGGCCTTCAGCTTTTTAAGGAAATGCTTTCGGGTTACTTATGTATGGTGGAAGATGATTTTTTTAATATCATTAAGTGGTGTAATAGAGAACAACCGGTACCATGGTTACTAAGATCTCTTTGGTTGGTAGTGACGGACTTGGCTAGTTCTATGATTATCTCCTTCAATCATATTTATAGAGAAGCAAATGAGGTTACTCATTTACTGGCAAAAGGTGGTGTTTATTTTTCAGCGATTAGAATATCCAATGTTGTAAGTGAACTATTGTAATCCCTTTGCCTGAGGAATAAAAATTTTAGGGACCGATAATATTTGTTAAAAAAAAAAACCATTTTATTTATTGTGAATTTTTTGCCTACAATATTCCTAGTGTGTATGTCAATTCTTTTTTTACCCATGACACCCAATTCAAGTTTTCTACACGTCGATCATTTATTTTCTTTATTTTTTTTCGCTCATTATTTATTATTATTATTATTATTATTATTGTTGTTGTTGTTATTATTATTCATAAGAATTTCTATGCTTCCCCTACTACATAAGACTTATGCTTCCCCCTATCCAACCGTCCATTCTGAATGGACGGTTGAGATGGCCCCAATCACAATGTCACGTCTTTACACTATTTTATTTTTTGTTTTTTTCTACAAAAACACACCAAATTTTGGGCCTCCATTCCTCTCTTGAACTGGCATTTGTAAAAAATATAAAATAATTCCTAATGAAATAAAAATAACCAAGATATCCCTAAAAGTTTTAAGGGGTATTTTGGTCATTATTATCGAATAATATTTTTAATATTTTATTTAGGTGCATCCCATTGAGAAGATGACACATACCAAATTTTATATTCATACAATTTATTTGTAGAAAAAACTAAAAATAAAATACTCTGAGGTTTCGGATGTGGATCAAACGGTCAGATGCTCACTTGATCTAAATTGGACGGCTGGATGGGGGACATATATATCTTCTATGAGGGGAAGTATAGAAACATTTTCCTGTTATTATTATCATTATTACTACTCCTCCCTTTAGTTTCTTTGGGGACCTTTTAAGAGTAGTATCTCTTGAAGTGTATGGATTGATGGGGTCATTAGGTTCCTAACTTCCTTGATTATTGAACTTGTATGTTTTACCAGCGTGACGTTCCTCTTAGTTATCGCGTATGGCCCTTCCTAATTTGGCTTGGATTTGCCTAATGGGCGCGGGCGCGGTTTTGTTAGGGAATAGAAGACCTTCTTGAGAACTAGGTCTCTTTGAAATTAACCCAGGATGACTTTCTTTGGTATGCACATTTAAGCTGTTGGCGGCAAGCTCTCATAGATATTGAGGCTCGGAGATGCCCGTCGCCTAGGGTTTTAAGAGCAGTTAGGGTTTAGGGTTTTTGTTATTTATTTATTTGCTCCTTGTTGGATTTTTTTTTGCGAGAGAAAACACTCAGTGAGAATATCTCTATCTCAATTGATAACCAAGCTTCCATACCGTATACGAACAAGTATGGGGTCATCCTATTGGTGTTTTCTTGTTGGCTTAGGCGGCCCAGTGGAGAAGCTAACAAATTCACGAAACCACCTCGAGTCGAGAGATGTTTAAACAAAGTTCACTTTCAACCCCAATGCCATCTCTAAACAAAAATTGTCATGTTATCAAAAGAACTTATTTAGAAACAATAAAAAAAAATATAAAGACTTATAATACGAGGGTATGACTTTTAATACAGTAAAATGACTCCGGCACTAAAGACAGCACTCCGGCAGTAACAGAAGGCGTTCTGACAGTACACGTTATGGAGACAATGCGCTCTGGCAATCTCAAAGGGTGCTCTGGCAATACATACTTTGGAGCTACAGCATTCCGACAGTTGCATAGCGCGCTCTAACACTTGAGAGACATCGCTCCAGTAGTGCATGTTTTGGAGACAACAACGCTCCGGCATTTGCAAAATGCGGTCCGGCAGTGCTTGTTCTAGAGACGAGGAGCTTCGGCAATTGAATGGGGCGCTCCGACGATACTTGTCCTGGAGTCACAGCTCTCCGACAATATTCAAAGGTGCTCCGGCAGTATATGTTCTAGACAATGCGCTCCAACAGTTGCATCGTGCGTTTCGACATTGAGTTTTTTTTTTTGTACAAAAAGGGTATTTTTGTAAAAAAAAAAGAAATTTTATTACAGGGTTTATTTACTTGGGTGCGATAGCAAGTGTACATTGAGTTTTTTTTTTTGTACGAAAAGAGTATTTTTGTAAAAAGAAAAAGAAATTTTATTACAGGGTTTATTTACTCACGAAAGGGAACAACTTAGTATTCCAGTCTCCACCGCGCAGAGACGTGTGGCGCACAGACGTGTGGTTTTGTTGTCGTTGAAGAAATAAGTAAACCAGAGAGAAAGAGCAAGTGGTGTGGACAGAGAGGGAGATTAAAAGTGGTGGTGGGGGCTCCAGACAAAATGGAAGCAGCGGCAGCGGCAGCGGCGCTTTGGTTGCGCTTTTCCTCCTCTTCTTCCTCTTCTTCTCTGGCAGCAACAACAACTATTTATTACATGGCACCATCACCATACATGGCGAAGAAGAAGAGGATGATGATGATGATGAGCAACAATGACTACCACTCTTCCTTCCCCCTCAAAAGCAGAAACAAATTCCCCATTACTTTCTCCTCTTCTCCGAGGAGGAGGAGGAGGAGGAGGAAGCTAGCATGGTGTGTGTTTGCAGAGAAAAGAGAGGAGGAGGAGAAAGAAGAGGAGGAGATGTTGGGGGTGGAGGAGGCGCTCCACATGGAAGGAGGAATTCCTCTCACGTCAGACCAGTTCGTGAAGCAGGTCTCTTCCCGTGCGTATGACATGCGTCGCCAGCTCAATCAGTGCATTGACTCCAGTAGCTACGACGGTTCTCACTCTCTCTAGAACTACCATTGATTTCATTTGATGCTTCCTTTATAATGTTTGTTCCTAGATGCCTCAAGCGAGAGAAAGAGAGAAACTCCGTCCTGGTTAAGGTAAATGGTTCACTCTACTGTCACGTTATTGCTAATTGAGTGAGTCAATTCCATTCAATTAAAAAGGCTTCCCAATGGCTGCTTGTTGCTAGTCCAACCAGCTAATTGAGTGAGTCAATTCAATTCAATTAAAAAGGCTTCCCAACTGTTGCTTATTGCTAGTCCAGTCCAACCAGGGGGTCTTCATTTGCCTATCGTTTGAACTTTGAAATGGTTGGGTCCTGTATTGTCTGAGTTGGAACATGATGTATTTTTACCCATTCTGCTAAATAAACATGTCATGTAATTAGTACATATTCTACATCTACTCTAAAAAAATGCAGCCCACATATTCATCTACTCGCTCTGTCCATTCCGTGGGGAATCTCTTTGTTGCCCTTCTTCAAGTCTCATTCCAAGCACAATGACATTGGCCGAGGAAAATTGGCCCCTGGTGATGGCCTATTGACTACCCTGCCCCGAAGTGGCTTTTATGGTTCTCAACTCAAATGAATGAGCAAGCCCCATATTCAACAAGCAAATACACCCAAGCATCCCCATAAATGGTCCAGGTAGTGTTGAATAAAGCCACCCAAACATCCCATGATCAAGTTCTCCTTTTTGCGTAACTATTTTTTTCATGACAACGGGTTGAATTGGTATATATGGCTTGAAATCTCATGTTTTACCCTCTCAATAAGTTATTCCTCAAATACTCATATTTGGAATCCTTAGAAAATTAGGTGGCCATTGAAAGGGTTGTGAGAGCATATAAAAGTTGGAAATGGTGCAATTGAAGGTCTGTGTAAAGGGATGTATGGAGTGATGGAGTGAGATAGAGTTGATACTAGTGCATAATGATGGGAAAGAAATGTAACTGGATAGGATGCTATTGTTTAGACTTGTAGAGATGTATTGCATGGTGGCCATTTGCATGGTGGCCATGATCAAAGGAACATTGCAAAATCGACACACTGTTTCACTGAAACTCTCAGGGGCCACACCAACTACTGTGTCTTTAATTTAAAATGTTTTGAACTATTAAAAAGCCTCATATATTGTTGAAAATTGCAGCAGTAGAGATACAACATGGCTGTTCAAAAATTCCAGAAGATTCAGGGATGCGGGAGCAATTCAGAGCTCAAAGAAATCAAGACGGAGTCTGAGAAGTCAATCAAAAGTTTTGGCTAGAGCTATTCTGCTGTAGTTGATGAGATAATGGGCATCAACCCAGTTACTGAGGAAAAATTAAGGATGACCTTCCAGGGACTTTATTGTCACCTGAGAATTGGCAACATATGCTCATGGACCTCAGGACATTCGAGAACATCTTTGCTTGGCCATTTGACCCATTGGATCTCAGGTGTATAGGAGATTCGAGGACTGATAGTATGTGATTCTAGGGATATGCATTCTCGAGGAAAAATAAGATAACAGAGTGATAAGAATTTGGTTGTGCATAACATCATAGGATGCATAACACTTTGGTAGAACAAATGATGGTTTGGACTTGGATTTCGCTGTGCTGGGATGCACTGGATATAATCAATGAAGAAAGCTGGCAATATTTCGGAATCATAGAATATTCACAAGCACACGGGATTAGAGAAATAACGTTAACTAGGAGACTTATAGAAATTGAGGATTGCGCCAATTTTTGGACCTGTTGGATTAGTGTTTAAAATCTTGAGATTTTGACATTGATTTGCTCATCAGAAGAACTTGGAAACCCTTCATCTGATAATTTATTAGCTGGGCTCATTTATTGCGTTTCTGGTTGCTTAGGTCTTAGGACAATGCTAGCCTAGGTTTAATGCTTTTGCTGGGGGCCTTCAGGGTGAAGCATGGTCCTGGGGCAATCTGGTCATCAAAGGGCATGCATAATATCAACAATAAGAAGATTGAACTATCGTAAAATGGATTTCAGCAGGATTTTAGCCAGGGTCTCGATAGTGGATGTCTGAGGTGTCAAAATGACGGACAATTTAGTGCTTTGCTTGCCCATTTCAACCATCTCTCTCTCTCTC